ATATATATATATATATATATATTACTGCAAGCTTAACAATAAATCTATATATATAATTGCTAGCTAATCATTAAATAAAACCTCATAAATAAAACTTAATTAATAAAACTTCATTTATTTTCCCTCCAAAAGAAGTTACAAAATTTGTCATTCATATTTTGCCTTCACGTTAATACACCCTATTAAGTGTAATCATGTAAAAAATTAATAACATTAACTATTATTAATATAATAGCAAAAAAATAGCATTAACTACTATAATAATAATAATAATAATAATAATAATAATATCTTGAAACAATAAAATTGTTTATACTTATGTAATATATTTAGTGTGAAATATTATGAGTTGGTAATAGCATTAACTATTATATAATATAATAGCAAAAAAATACATGATTACAATTAATAGGGTGTATTAATGTGAAAGACAAAATATGAATGACAAATTTTGTAACTTCTTTTGGAGAGAAAATAAATGAGGTTTTATTAATTAGGTTTTATAAATACATGATTACACTTAATTAGGTTTTATGAATGATACTGTTATTATTATTATTTTAATTTTGTATTTCATGAAACAATTTTCTTTAGAAACAATTAGTAAATAGTTTTAATAGTATAGGAAAAAACTTTAAAATCTTATAAACAATTGTCGTTGTAATAAGAATAGTAATAATAATAATAATAATAAAGTTTTCAAGTAAATTATTTGACCATGATCCCTCCAAATTAACAAAATTACATTACCCACAATTTTTTTATTCAATATAGTGATTCATATGTACTCAAATAATTTATATAAATATTATTTTATTTTTACTAATGATTAAATCTTGAAAATGTGGCATGTCCATTATCTAGAATTTCAATATTAAATTCACAGATCTTGAAAATATTATATGTTTATTATCTAGAATTTTAATTTTAAATTCACGTATCTTGAAAATGTGATATGTTCTATATTTTAATATTAAATTCACACATTAGTTATAATATTTTATATACATCTGTGCATGTGCACAGGATGATAACTAGTAACAATAAATCCCATAAACCTCTTTTTGATGGACCCCACATGTTTTCCACTTACTTTTAATTAATATAAATATCATACTATTTTGTAATTGTTGGTTCTAATAAATATGATAAAATAAAAATGAATCCTCACAAATGAGAATTCCAAAATTGACGCTATGTAAATTTAAATATTACTATATTTTTTTTTTTTTTTTGTGTGTATGTAACATATATGCTAATCCAAATCAATGATTCTAATAAATTTGTTAAAATAAAAAAGAATCCTTGATAACTAAGAGTTCCAAAATCGGCTACATATAATTATTTACATAATTTTTGCCTACAAAACCACTATCAATGTAATTAAAGAAAACCAAGAATTTACTAAAACAAACACAAACCGAAATCGAGTTATATGAAAATTATTCAATTAATGATTTATTTTTTATTTAGATCATTTTATATTATTT